CACTGAGACTCATTTTATTCTGCAATCCCTGCTAAATTTAGAGATACGACCATCAATGACCCTCTGTCGGTAAAACTCTGGATCTAATGTGTTCAAGGAACGCATCACAGACTCCAAATCTGAAGCCTGAGATTCAATCAATCAACAAACAAGCTTTTTTTTTTTTTTAATCATTTAGAACTAGAGCTGGGAGATATGGTCTAAAAATCTTATCAATTTCTTCGGTAACTGGGCAGCTTTTACAGCATAAAAAATGAAATGAATAAATACTGCTTTCAGAAAAAAAAAAAAAAAAAAAAACTAACACCAGTTACATAAAAAAGGTTGTTTAATCACCAATTATCTCAGAGTTACGGCATCTAACTAATAAATCCCACAATAGAAAGAAAATAAATTTACCAATTTTTCAGTCTTTAAAAACACATTTAATTCCAAGTCATAAAAAAATTAATCAAAGTTATTATGAAAAGAAATTTATCTTAATAACAATAAACTACACAATAAATTCCAACCCCCATGCATTGTTTAAATGGTGATATTGTCCAGAAAATAAAAAAAAGCTTATATTTTTGGCCCTTATGCTACGTTTACCCCAAAACAATTTTAGCAGCAAAAAAGGTTCCTACTCCTTCATTCTTTATGCTTTTACACATTAAGGTCAGATGCACCTCAAGAGCATCTTAGATGCTCCTGAAGCGCATCCAGTAAATTGTGTACAGATGCTTCTGCTGCTAATGTGTTCAATAAATAGTAGGAGTTTTACGTTTTTATGCAAGAAAGTCCACCTCAAAACTTCATCTGTGCAGTCAGTTAATCAAGATTATGATTCCTGCCTTCAAATATTTCGCTGTCTGAGCTGTTCAGATCTCCACATACCGGCCGTGGACTGTCACTGAGATTCTAGCAGCATCAGGCCCACTCGCCTCTGGTGGGATTTCCCCCCTACTGTTTGTGGCGGCTGGAAGTAGATGTTAGTGTCTTCCATGTATGCTTTACAAACTACAAGCACCAGTATAATAAAAGCGAACATATTTTGCTGCCAAGTGGACATTTTAAGTTAATTTAGTCATTAATAAGCTTTTTCAAGGGAGTAATCATAGAGATCTGCATCAGCAGCGCTGCATATCTCTCCCTGCCAGCTCCCAGATCAGCTTCTCATTAGTTGATCTGGCACGTATAGGAGCTAAAGTTAAATTTTTCAAACTCCAGCATCTGCTGCTTGTGAAGCGTGTCATGCCCGTCAGATGCTCAGAAGATCATGAGGTGCAGCTTCTGCTGCTCGATACACGCTGCAGGACCTTCTGAAGCCCCTTGATGTGGACTTTGCATGTACATTGGCTGTTTCTGCTGCTCAAAGCACGTCTGATGTAAAAGTAGCATTGCTCTGGTGCCAATAGGTGCATTATGTGTTCGCCCAAACTGGGGGAAGCACCACCTATAGGCAGTAGTGTGTAAATGCAGTGGACACCTGGTAAAAATGTATTGAATAAATGAACCATTTTAAGGGGTATTGGTAAAAAAAAAAGTTTGAAATTTGTTGCACTGGAGAATAAGCAGCTAAATGTAAAATAAATTAACTTAAAAGTTGGTCATTTTAGCAATTTAAGGAGATTGTAGTTTAGAGCGATTATCTATTTACCACGGTTTACTTTGCTTTATTCAACTGAACTTAAGAAATTAGATGTACACAGAAACTTTTCTTTAAACAGAAACGTTGGTTTCCAGCAAGAAAAATGTGAGTGCATTTAGCAGCCATACATGACTGCTCCCTCAATCACTAATGTTTAGTTTATTTGTCACTAAATAATTTTTTCGACCTAAATCATAGGGTCAAAGAATCGGCTCAAAAATATTAGCAGCACACATTGGCGATCGGTTAGACAGATGTTTATATTTGGCATAAAAAAAACAAAAAAGCTCACTGGCTGACCTCTAATACCGTTTCTAGGAGTTTAACGCTTCTGTATTTTTATTTCATTAAATTCCTTCAAACTTACATACAGTGAGGTCTCACTACCTGCTCTAGTGTTAACTGATCCGCTTCCCAGTCGCTGCAGCGCACCTCCAAAGATTTATCCAGAGACACGTTTAACAGATCTGCAGCCAAGGACTTCAGACTGAGGCCGTTACTGACAGAAGATCGCCTGAATGTGAGAACAGTTTTATTATGATGGGTTTTTCTCTTTGATTCCACAGCCAGTACTCAGCTTCTAAACCGTACCTTTGCCTTAAAGCCATGTAGCGCAGATCGACCGTGGAGGTCAGAGATAGGCCATAGTCACGGGTCAGACGCTTCCCATCGTCATAGCAACCCACCCCAACTTTCAAAATGCACGGGTCTCTGAGGACTTCCATGAAGCTAGTTGGGAACGGCTGCTGGGCGCCTCGGAACGGCAGCAGCCTGACCAGGACACACAGGCCAGAGTAGGTGGCCATCTGCAGCAGAGAGACGACGGAGGCTCTGCCCTTAATCGACACCTGGGAGGGGAAAAGATGGCAGAGTCAGAGAAGACTAATCCGCATGGGGGAAAGATTAAAAAAAAAAAAGGAAACTCCACCAACACAGTACGTTAAGTGCATAAAAAAATTATTTTTTTTCCTGGGTGGGTCTTTCCTTTTTTTGATTGTGTAAAAAAAAAAATCATGCAAAAGGTATTCCTTACGCCTTCGGTCTTTACCCATTCACAGTCCAGCCCCAGCACGGGGAAGACTGATAGTTCTGTCTGCATCAGTGGCCACATCTCCTGCCATTCCTCTCTGGAGCTCACCATCACCGGCTTCACCGCCAGCAGCTGCTCACAGGATGGGATACAGACAGGAGGCGGGACCTTTGTGGTTTGACACTCTGTGGTTTTAAACTCCTCCTCAGCCACGCCTTGCGCCTGGATTTGTTGACTCTCAGTAGCATCTTCAACAGGACAAAGAGGAGCCAACTGAACCGCCGCCTTCTGGATGGAAGACAGCTTCTTCCGTTTTGTGCGATACACCTGCCATATGAGCAGCCCACCTAAAGCTGCACTCAGTACCGTTATGACGGTGGTGAAAGGCCCCCGATGAGACATGTTGACAGACTGGACAGGAGAAAGAAAATACAGAAGAATTTTAACATCTGAGCACATCTGGAAGCAGTCACCCACCAGATTTTAATGTCCTTGTTTGTTTTTTCAACTGTGCATCTCTGCAGTTAGAAAGCAATAATCTCTTTTACAAGACAAAACAAAAATCTGAAATATGGACAGCCTATACTGCTCTGTAACGTCTGATAAGTTCAGACAAAATTTTAGGATTGCAAAAAAAACACTTTTGCTTTCAATGGTTAGTTTGAAAGGGTTCTGTAGTGGACGATCTAGTTCAGTAATGTAGTTTATATGGTTTGGCTTATCTGAAGTTGAAGTTAAATGCAAAGTAAATAAAACATGCTGACAGTACCTTTTTCGGTTTGAATATTAAACAAAGTTTTTCATCTTTTTATGATGTTAATATGGATAAGATTTAAAAAGGTTAAAACCACAATTAACAGATGAGTATTTGATATAAAACTATTAAAATAAAATTAATCCAGTAATCATAAGTGGGGTTATGAAAAATCCAGAGGTACAGAACAATAATTTCAGGTTGTGCCATAGGAAACATTTAGATCAGGCATTCCTAAAGTTGGTCCTCGAGGGCCGCCGTCCTGCAGGTCTCCCTTCTCCTGCACAGCTGGTTTCCATTGATGGCTGATTATTAGGCTTTTGCTGAACAGCAATCATCACAATCAGTTGTGATAAAGCAGGGAAACCTGTAAAACATGCAAGACAGCGGCCCAGAGGGACCGACTACGGGCTTGCCTGATTTAGGTTTTAAAGTAGCCCAGGTTTCCCAACTTCTGGGGAATAAACGGCCCTTTTTATCTGAATCTGATGCTAACAGAAACACAGTCTATTAAAACCTGTTAAACTAAATATTGTGGTTCCATCGCTGTGATAAGTTTCTTTTTAACGTGCACGTGTTAAATGTGAAAACCAAACAGTTCATCTCGACAACATCCCCCAGTTTTCTCATCAAGTTAAACCCTCGTCCATCGGTTAGCATCAACGGCTAAGCAATAAACTAGCTCCATCCTTAGCAGCTCGGAGGACCTGTCGTCCCCGCGATTGAGTGTCGATTAAAAACCAGCCTCCTGGTTGCACAGATTGACAGCCTTACCTTTATGTTTGCAGCCGACAGGACGCCCCTTTCACATGGATGAAGACTTGTTTGCTGCGTTGCTCCATTTCTTCTGACCTGCATTTATACTGCGCTGCCACGGCGAGGACCAGCGGAGCAGCAGCGCCCCCTGCTGGATGGATGAATACATGACAATACAACTTCTAGCACGGCTCTATACAGTAGATCTTTAAAATATAGAGGAAACGTTTATCTTTAAGGATTTTTAAATATTTTTTTCATGACTCGAGTAAAATTAAACTACTGTAAATAAAAATTTGTCTAAAGCCCAAGTATACTGCAAGTAAAAGTGACTAATTTAATCCAAACCTAATGCACATTCTAGTTTAGTTGTGTATCAAATAAGTGAGGAACACGTAAATATTAAAAGTCCAATGTATTGAACCTTTTTATGTATTTTGCACAAAAATGCTCTGGCTGCAAGCAGAAGCTGGCTATCTCAAGTTGTAACTTACCCGTCCTACAGTCCATAGGCACCAGTGGCGGCCTAGTGGTCAGAGCATTGCACAATAATAATTAACTTTGCTGCATTGGAGAAATTCACTCTCTGCATTTAACCCTTCCCCTTGCGGAGCAGCAACAATAAAATGGTTGACACTGATTAAAACTGAGTGATGAAAACAAGATTTTTTACACACACTGTCCCTGACTTAGAGCATGACAATGGCTGCAAGCTGAATGGAAATTCGCAAAAAGATTTCAGCTCTGCAAAAGCAAAGCTGAAGGAGAGAAAAAAAGTGGATGTAGTAGTCATAGCAACACTTTTGAAACTTTTATTTGAAGTAACGTGACAAAATGTGAAGAAGTGTTACAAGGCACTGCATGTGAACAAATCAGGAACACAGACCGCTTTTTCTTCTATCACCATAAAATTTATTCAACCCATGAGCTTCAGTTATTTTTTCTCCAAAGAGCAGAAATAAAGAAATGAAATACTTTAAAAAAAGAAAAAAAGTTGATCAGAGAATTGATCATATCAGCAAGTTTGATTAAAAAATAAAAATAGAAATCAGAAAGTGAGGATGAGACCACATTTTATTCTCCCACCGGAGGTTCTGCTGCCCGTCAGAGCCACAGGAGGCAAACGGAAACCGGGCCAGACCCAATCAAGCTCACCTGTGAGGTCAAATGATCTGGTTTATTAGTGCATGTGCATATTGAAGAAAAAAAAAAAAAACATTAAAATCAACTACATACAAAATAAAAACAAAGTCTCCCAGGAGGAGATGGTAAAACAGGATTGATGCATCCTATGTTGTTAAATAATATTAATATAAAACAAAACTGGTACTAAAAAAATAAGGACAAAGGGAGTCCTAACTTGTACTGAAAAATAAAAAAAAACTAAGGACAGGTAAAAGAGAGGCAACCTTATAGGCACCACCACCATGGCCAAGCACAAACTGATTGTTGCTGCAAAGAAACACTATTCATCAGAGATATTTTTCATTCAGGTACATGATGCTGAGACAGCATCAAGATTTGTTTTTCAAAAATGAGGGAAAAATATAAAATAAAACTAAACAAAAAAAAGCACACACTCAAAAAGCAGCTATCCCTTCAAAAAAATCTCTTTACATCACATTAAAAATCTGCACTGCTGTGAGCTGTGTGTACAGTATAGATTCTTTATATATATATATATATATGAATTTATGTATAATATACATGAACTTTCTCGTATACACAAACATTGTAACTATCCCGTGCCTTTGGCAAGATTACTTACAACTCTTCTGTTAGATTTCAAAGCTATTTAAAATATACTTGATGCATAAAAATAAAGATTTTGGCATTGTCTTGCTCTACCCTTAAGACTGGGGAGGTTGTTTTTGTTTTTTTTAAGGAGTACTTCTCATCTGGAAGTGGAGTTCTCTCAGTGCTGCAGCCTTTCTATCATTGCAAAAGAAGGTGGGGGAGGTGATGATAACCTTGTGCTCCGTAGCACAAACAAGACAACACAGAAGACAAACGAAATGCCTGAGGAGCTGAAAATTCACTCAGCTTCCCCCCACTTTCTCCCAGCTTCATCCCCCTCCCTGCTGAGTGCCTCGAACGAAGGACGGCCGGACGACTCTCCCGTTAAGTTTGTGCTGCACCGTGTTCAGAGCTGGATCTCAAAAGTCTTTTGCAGCTCGGTGGAGAAGGGGTTAGTGGGGGATGGGGTGGTGCGCTGGTGGGGGCGGTTCTCCAGGGCTGCCCACTGGGCTTCGAAAGCATCTTCCTGCGGCGCCGGTGCAGACTGCGCCTGCAGGGAGGATGAGGCTGCCCAGCCGTCGGCGCCGTTGAAGGAGGCCCTGCCATTAGAAGGGTGCAGAGGCATGGGCTTAACCTCTGCGGGTGGAGGGGGTTTAATGTACGGGGAAATGTTATTGATGCCCTGAGCGTCCGTCTGCAGCGTGGAGGAGGCTGGGACGGGAAAAGGCTGCGGATGGGTGGCGGAGCCAAACGCGTTAGCCACCATCTGTGAAGGAGTGATGCCGATCAGAGGCACGCTGGGCTGAGGGAACGGCAGCCCGTTGGACACCGGGTAGGAGGCCGGCGCCTGGGCGTGGAAGGCGGGCTGGCGCGGGGGCACCATGGGGACGGTGGGGGCCAGAGAAGGGATGAAGGGCACCGGGGGAACGACGGCTACGGGGGCCATTGGCATCTGTGCGGGGGCGGCAAATGGCTGGGGGGGAGGCGTGCTCCCTGCGGCGATGGGTTTAGGCTGTGGAGCTCGGACAGATTTGGTGACTTCCTCCAACCAGCGGTCTGCTTCTGATGGCGTTCGTTTGTGGGCGGACATGGCTGGAGAAGCAGTGGGAGGGGCTACAAGGACCGGTGCAGCTGATGGCCACTCCCCTCCTGCATTAAGACAGAAAAAACAATCAGTCCCATAATGATTTCCTTTAATGGTTGAGACGTCTTTCCTCAGATAACTTTATTAGTTCTCTGCTTTTCTGCTTGTCACTTGTGATCAGATAACCTGGAACAACTTCGCCCAAAATGTCAGAATGTGGCGTCTCTGTTGAGCTGTTTACCTGGGTGGGCTGCAGCCGGGGGCCCTGCTGGGTTTGTGGCCCAGGGGTTAGTCTCTCTAGCAGGCAGAGCAGGGTGCAGGACTAAGGGGTTGGCAGCAGGAGCAGCAGAGAAGGCAGGCATGGTGCCGTTCACTAAAGCAAATAAGAGACAGAAGCTAATGCTAGTTCTGAAAGATCTATTGTTAGACGTACAATGGCTGCCATGCTTCTAATGGCCTTTAGTGTTAAACATAGTTAGAAATGTTATGTTGAATAAAAAAAAAAAAAAAAAAGAATAGTAGGCATTACAGGGAAATGGTTAGATATAAAATATAACAACATTCCAATTAGAGGAGCAAGAAATTCAAGTAAACTACAGCTAATTGTTGCACGGAGCAGATGTCCTACAGGTGTTACCTGGAGCCACAGGAGACTGTGGAGAAGATGCTGGTTTGGGCATTGGAGCAGAAGAAAACGGGTCCTCTGGGGGTCCGCTGAAGGCAGTGGCGATCTGGGTGCACAGGGAACTGATGCTGTCGCCTTCTCCTTCTACCTCAGGGACTGCATGAAAAAAAGATTCAGAAAAGCAAAGTTAAAACAGACCTCAGATCTGATCTAAAGGTGTCGTATTATGTGTAATGTCTCAGAGTAGAGAGGATATTGGCTTTACAGAATAAAAACAAACTGTAAAAAAAGGGGGGTTAGTGTTGTTCAATACATTATGACTTTTAGCCAGCAAATTCTTTTAGAAGTACTACATCTTTATAAATGCCACTGTCCCTTCTTTAAAATACTGGAATTTCTGCAGGTTTTTTGGAAGGTTCCATAAATCATCACCTGCGTTTTTTATAGGGAAATCCGACTTTCGCTGCATAGTGGAGGGCAGCTCATTTGGGCGCAGTGACAGCTGTCGTTTGAAGGGAGACGTCTTCTGGCTGAGTGCCGGAAAGCCTCTGAAGGAGCCCTGCCGGGCGATGACATCAGCCGGCGCGTGTCTGCGGGGGATCACCTGAGGTCCCAACGCACCAACGGAGAGTGGCGGAGAGGATGAGGGGGACGGGGAGCTTCCTGGCTGGTTCAATGAAGGGTTTGTTGAAATATTGGCTGCATTCCCGGCAACGTTTAAGTCCGTCTCTGCTGGTAAAGAAGGGAGACAGTAAAGAAATAAAAAGCCAAGATTCAAACTAAAGCCAAGTGACAGGATTCTTACGAGAGAAAAAAAACTCTCTAACAACTGATCTAATAGAGCCACAAAGGTTCTATAAATGCCAGACCTTTGCTGAGACGTGGGACCCATCCACTACATGTTTAATACACAAAGAACTGGGAAATACGTTTCTATTTTTATTTTTTGGAACAGTAAAATGAAGAGCAATTCATTTCACATTAAAATACATTGAAAATAAATTAACACTTTTAATGCAGAAAGAGGGATAAAAAAGAAAGAAAGAACTGAACAGAAAGACCCAAACAAAGAAAGACTGAGCACAGACACCTTTTTTAGCATCCTGCAGTTGTCTCATGACTTCTTCTCTCTCTGCAGCCTCTGTTGCTGTGGTAACACGAAATGAGCCTTCCCGAGTAAAAGTGGTTCTGTTAGCATCAAAGGTTGCCGTGACACCACACTCCTTCTCCCGCTTCTGTTTCCTCTCCAGACACGCGGCAAACGCACAGCCCACAGCATGACTAAGCCGCTCTCCCTGGCAGGGACGAGACAAACAGTTTGCGTTTGTGGAAGAAACTAACAATCACCCGAAAGCAATAGAAAGTGAAAGATATTTATTTATTTCACAAGATGACAGCTCACGATCCACTTCACAGAAAAAAAAAGTGCAGGTTTTGCTCCTTTAAAGCTTCATTAACAGAAAAGAAAAAAGCCAGTTCTTACTGAGTCTTTAATGGCCATAAAACAGTGGCAGATCCAGCGTCGTGTGGTGCCATCCCTGCAGATGTATGAGAACGCCCTCTCAAAGTTCCTGTCTGGAGCACAGAACGAAACCTTCTCTATTGTCTGATCCAGAATCAGGTCCTGCAGGAAGCAGTTTCTATCATTAGCATGGTTATAGCTGGGACACAGGAAATCAAATAATAGCCAAATAGGAGCTGAAGAGTTTAACAAAGATTCCTCAGCCCTTATTTTGGTCTTCAAATCTAATTTGCTAATTTTCAAATCTAGTTGCTTCAAACTATTTCTTTATTGCAAAAACAAAAAAAACAAAAAAATCATAATATTACACCTCAGCAGTAAAACAGTACAGAATTTTAAGGTCAACCTCACTTAAATATTTCAGTTTCTCTAAAGAACAGAGTCTGCAAAGTCACCAGCAGTTAAAATAAAGATTTATAAAATGTTTATCACTGAAGTGACAAAAATAAAAATAAATATTTTAGTCACTTTCATTTTTTTGTAACATACAGTATAAACCCAATGCCTTCGTTTTAAGCAAAGACAGTACCAGCTACTTCCAGCAGGTGTCAGTGGGACTTCCTATTTGTGTGTTTAGGGAGCATAATGCCAAAGAGATCATCTCCTACTGTATGTATTCTCATCAGAAAAGTCTATAATCAGAGATGATTTTCTGATATTTAAGTGTGTATATCCCTTAAAAATGTTCAGAGTTGTCATACTAAAAGAACAACAAAATACGTTAGGTCGACAGGTACCAGGGTTATTATCACCATGCTAAATTTTCAAACCTGATAGAAGAAATGTGGATACCAGTTTTGGTTCTATGGGTATAAAACTGACAAATAATTACAGACAAAAAATGTTTTTAATTACATAAAAAAATCATCTTTTTCATTCTTAACACAAGATATTATTTTTCTGCAGAATCACAGATTATAGTTCAAGATTAGGCAAATAAATGCTAAATAAATAACCTAATATAACTCAATTTGATAACTAAAGTATTAAATGGTTTAAGGAGCAAATCATTTAGAAATGTAAAACTAAACAATAGAAAAAATATGTAAGAGACATTTATCTTGAGTATTGATACCATGCCAAACTAGTATTGTAAAGGTTACCGGTTTGAGTATCATTAGAGTACTTATTGGTGTTTTGGGTATTTCTGACAGTATTTGAAAACATTAGAATATCCTTAAAATGTTTGATGTTTTGTTACTGAAATCAGAGGGTGAATCTCATTCATTACCCACAGGGAAATATTTCAACTCTTTATTTTTTGTAATTTGGATAATTTTTAGTTTTTCAGCTAATGAAAACCTAAAATTCTGTTAAAATATGAACATTTTAACACAAGATCAACTGAAATAGATTTTTCCAATTCGATCAAGTGTTTGGGGCTCCTTTTGCATGAGTTTCTGCATCGATGCTGTGTAGCATGTGAGGCGATTAGCTTATGATTGGTCTTACTAGATTTTCTGGCTGGACTTCAGCCTGGACTTTGACTAGGCCGTTTTAACACATAGATATGGATCAATTTAAACATTTGGTTATCGCGCTAGTGGTACTTTTAGAGCTGTGGTCCCAATTGAAGGTTTCGCCACAGTTTCAATTGCTTTATAGCCTCTGACAGTTTTTTTTTTTTATCTTCCCATCCACTTAAATCAGCCAACCTTTCCCTGCCTCCCCTCCATAGAATGATGCTGCCACCACCATGTCTGACCATGGTGTATTAGTTTTCTTACACTTGATAAGGTTTCAATAAACCACAGCATCCTCTTCCATGGTTCACGATGAACTTCAAATGGAACATTTTCTAGCTTTCTATTTCAGACTGCTGAATGTCGGGTCTTTCCAATCAAACCTTTTCAGATCTGCTGTAATAGAGAATGCTACCAGATATCCCTTTGTCATAATTTACAACAACTCTAAAGAAACTTATATATAGACTTGTACAATTCTCATTGGGGGTTAAGGAAAATATTGTGAATCAAACTGAACTAAACAAAAAGCTTTTTTAAATACACACACATAAATTTCAGACAAATGGTATGGGTCGATACTGCACAGCAAGGTATCGGTATCAGGGCAATGACATCAGCGCAACACTAGTTATGACATTAACGTGTGTTAATGTTTGTTTTCTGCTAAAACAGGAGAGAAAGTTGGCTTGGTCTGCTAGCCATTAGCTCTTTGTCTAAACAGCCACTTCCAGCATGGAGGGCATAGAGCGGTCTTAGCATTAATGAACTTTTCCTTACTTAATTCCCATAGAAATCTTCACATAATGTTAATAAATTATTATTTAAACAGTTATTGAGTTGTCATTAGGCAACTTTAAAACGTATTATTTAACTAAACATTGGTTTTTTTTTTTTTTTTTCATTTACTTCTTGGATTTGGATTGGGAATTGTTTTGAACACATTCCAGTGGCTCTAAATTATTTTTAACAGCTAATTTGACCAAATTTCACAAACAAAATCCTTACCAAAACGTGATATTTCTTTCTCCTATTAATAATAGTTTTCCACTATTTTCATTTGCCCTTTTCTTGTCTGTACATAGTAGCTAATTAAGTTTAGTTGAGTTTAATTAGCTTAGTAAAGAGTTTCTCACTGAAATGTATCACCTGGAGTTTCATGATTTTAGTTGAAAAATTCTTATGTTTTGAATGGAAGTTGCTGTCAATTTATTGCAGTTAACTGTCTGAGCAAGATTTGAGTTTGAATCACACTTTTTTTGTTGTCCTGACATGGAACAGGACAACAGAGACCCAGCTTTGAACACGTTATCCATTTTGCTGTGTTCCTTGGTTTCCATGATGCCATTTTGTTGTCACATGTACTCTAACCAAGCTATAATGTGTTGCTCTGGCATTTAGTTTCTTTTTCGGTGTTGAGGTAGAGGGGATTTGATTAAAATCCACAGATTTTTTGCTAATACACTTTGTGTATCATAAGTAGTAAGGATATCCCGGGATCACTGTTTTTCTGTTCTTGCCTTTGTTTTGTCGTCTACAACTCGAAGCCCATCCGCCGACACCCACAGCACAGCTCGCACTGCCTTCTTCCCAGCCTGCAAACACACACAGAGTGGAAAGAGTTAACAAAAAAAAAGGCTGTTTCAGTATCCCTCAGTATCACTGTCTTTTCTACCATTCCTCTGCACCTACTGGTAGAAAATATTATAAACACATACACACCTGTGAATGAAAGAGATAGAAGCTAGTAAAAGGCCAAAAAAGGGGAGGTGTTTTAAAGCACCTGTGCCACACAGACAAATTTTGATCAAGAAACCAAGAGGACTGGTGTGAGATTCTGTGCTGATGCAGGAGGTAAGTGATTGGTTAAATTAGCAACAATGAAAAAGAAAATATTCATTCATTCAATTTGTTCAAAGTCCCACTGCTGCTTCGTGGAAGCACGGCTAAAGGAAGAGAAGCCACGCCTGTTAATAAAAACCACAAACATGGATGGCTAAAAGTGCCCCACCCCAGCATTAAACCACCCCACCTGCTCAAAGACACATGCATTGTTGTGTATCTGTCTCTGCAGACTCGCTTCCCTTGTCTGCGTGGGCTTCTTCCAGACATCAGCAGTGAACAAAGGGTGAAGTGTGAGAAAATAATAAAGCAAGTAGGAAGGAGAAACACTCAGAGACACAAAGCAATAACTTACTTTAGAAAAGAATCCTTTGAAGAATTTCCTGTCCTGGAAGTGGATGTGGCAAAAAGGGAGGGGTTGGAGGAGACGGGGGAGGGAGGAACAAGGGCATGAAAATGTTACCTAAGAAGTCTAAGGTTTGACTAGAGCCGACAGGATGGGGTTTGGTTTGAAGATTGTCGTTCTGGTGAACTTTAAGTTGGGTTATTGGTGAGTGATGGGTTTGATTGGATGTCAGAGATATTTATGGGTGACACTTTATTAGAGATAGTTGCCGTTAGTAGAACCGGAAAAGAAATCCCAAGAAAGACTTAAAGCTCAAAGCAGAAACCTTCTGACGTCAGTAAGCAACACCAGTTAGTGCTGATACACCAAACAGTAATCTATATTCGCTTCCCATCTGCTTAACCCTCTGATACAGACTTTAGCCAACTCTACCATGTCTTGTAAGAACAGCATTGAAAATATTTCTCTGTGACAATAAATCATTCATCAGAAAGGTGATGCTACACCTCATCAGTGAAAATGTTTTATTTATATATTGTTGGAGTTACTAGGAAGGATAAAACTGATCCTTTTACCGTATTCAATTTAGCCTTACTGTTATCCTCTCAAAGTCTTGCTCTCTCTCCCAGCATTATGGACTGCAAAAATGACATGGAGAATTCTGCCAAAATTTCACATACATAACCTAATCTCCACATGTATTTTAAACGTCCCTTGCAACAGTTCATGTTCCTTTTATGCACCCTCTCGTCTTTGCGCCAATAGATTCTCTTTTCTTCTTGCGTGTGGACCCATTTCTGTGTGCTCATTTCAACTTTTGTCACTTTATGGGAGGAACCAACTGATAAAGTAAATTTCCTGCAGTTGGGTACTTTTCAGGGAATCCCACCTCTCGACACAGAAATGTTTTTGTTTCTGCCAGCAAAGCATCTTCAGGCTTATAGCTCTTCTCTTAAAGAGTAAAACATTAGTAAAGTCATCATTAAGCAACTTAGGTGAACACAGTCAACAGCAGGAGCAATATGCTCTAAAATGATTAATGTTAAATTTTGAACTTTGTACGGGCTAAGCTAACATTAACATCACTGTTTATTTTGAGCAAAGTGAGGCTTAAATTAACTCTAACTTATAGTTAAATACAGACATTAACATTGTTAATTAGTTTGCAACTACTGTTGGTTTTTTTTTATGTCCAACATTGTGGCCGTTTCTCAATATGTGTACTTGTGAAACGTCATCAGCCTCATCAGCCCTAGTACTGTCCCAATTCACAAGAACAGCAGACCAAGAACGACAAAGTCCCCGGATGTTGTTCTCGCCCCTCCCCATTTACAGAGTATGCATCAGAGCAGACTTGTCCGTTCTTGAGATTGAGTCCCAGCATGCACTGCGGCATTAGCAGCTTTCAATGGAGGGCTCACAGAGTATTAAGTTAAAAGTTCTCTTTTCTGTTGTTCAATAAAAGTAAGTTTTAAGATCATTTGAGGCGAGAATATACTTTTAACCATCACTATAAGCCATTTACCGATTTTATGTGTAATTAAAAAATGTTTTCCGAAGTTGAGAGGACTGCGGTAACCAGCGGAGTTCCGAGGGTAACGGCAGCCAAGGCTAACCGCAGCCCGTCTGCAGCAGCCCTCTCTCGGCATAGCCGTGTGTGGGGAGGGATAACCTGAAGCCCCCATTTTATTCTTTCTTCCCTGATTTCCAGAGACCTGATCCATCCATGGCTGCTCAGCAGACAGAAACAGATTGCTGCAGACAGAAGACTGACCTCTGGGTCACATCTGTGACTGTTCGCTGAGTCTGGGGTTCAAACTCAAGCAACCACTTTAAAACAGAAAAACAAAAGCCAACCAAACCAGACTAGGCCTTAATCCCTTCCCTGCAATCACCCGCTTGCTGTGAGCGAGTTACTCTCCTCCCCATAAACTAGGAAAAGGAGTGCCATTCGACTCCTGTTACACTGAGACGGCTTTTTGGAGCACCGTGTTAATGCATGATTAAACATGTTAACCAGACATGGATATTCATTTGGTTTGAGTTAAGCTCTTGTTAGTCTATGTTTTTGCATAAGCGGTGGTGTGTTAGTAAGCTATGGTTAGGGGAACAACATCTAGATTAAAGAGATCACTAGAACTCTAGCAAGAAGGAAATTGGATGGAGAAGACATTTTTCTGCATTTTAAACCTGCTTAAAAAAAGGACAAAATGTAGAATTTATTCAACATTCAAAAGTGGAGACATAAAAGGCAAAAACATTTCTAAACGGAAGAGATCAAGTTTTAAAAGGTCAAAACTGAAGCAAACAATGTGAAAACAAAATGGGATGAGCAAAATGGAAAAGCTACTTTGCAGGCTTGTCTTATTTCTATGCTTTACTGGTGACTGCAAACAGCATCTGTGGTCCTTAAACTCCTGCTGTCAAAGGCACAGAGCAGGGGTCTGCAACCTTTACAATCCAAAGAGCCATTTCTACACTATATGCAGTCTGGGTAATAATACTCATTTAGAGTCGCACACATTATGTGACCTTTTTAAGAGAGATATCTACCAAAGGTTGGTCTTTTTTTATCAGTGCCATTTCAAATTTGACGTTTTAAAACCATTCTGTTACCATTTGTTCACTTAAAAAGATATTTAAAAAATATATTTCTCTTATATTTAGAGTTAATTTATTTTTTAGCACAATCAGTCAATGAAGAAAATGTTTACTAGTTTTTTTTAAGTATATCTTTTTTTCCCAAAGATTAGCAAGCTCTTCATTATTTTTAGCCAGAGTGATGAGGGACCAATTCAAGTGTCAGAAGAGCCACAGCTTGCAGACCCCTGGCAAAGAGTTAAGCCGGGCTTGCACTGTGTGATTTTTTTGCCCTTTTCAGTCGTGCGAGAATTTTTCGATCGGCCCGACTTTCAGCCTGATTGTGCGTCGTGTAGAATAAAGTGGGTAACGAGGGGCTATCAGCCTCTTGCAACCACATCCCGATCAGGAATCAGGAAGTCGACCGTCATGGGCAAAACGCTCAGTGGCCAAACAAGGATTTTTTTCTTCCTCTCAGATGAAAACACAGAAGCATGGCAGAGGTGCGAGTGAAATGGAGTTCTTTCTGTAAAAATGACAGACCGTGAATAGCCACGTTTGCTCAGCCATGTCTTTGTCCAAATACGTCGCTGCCATTTTTTTAGGGCTTTCAGCACAAAATTGCAAAATTGCCAAGGTTTCACTCCAGTGAGCTTAATATTCCTCTTCTACTGGTTTGGCTTCCTGATAGAGAAGTACCAGTAGTGCCATCTCTCATTTGGGGCTGTGGTTTTTAGACGTACAGTGTGAGCAGGTAGATCGGATCAGAGCGTTGGGTCGCACACGCATCGTGAGTTGTCAACTCACACTGTACCATGAAACCGCAGGGATTCATCATACAGTGTGAGCTGCCAAGACTGAAAAATATCATACAGTGTATGCCCGGCTTAAGCAAGTGCTGCCCCTCCCCCACACACTGCTCAGGTAGCTAAAGGAAAGCTATAACACTTTTCAACTGCCAACAAGGAAGAATCATTTGTTAGTTTCTGATTACAACAGGTTCACATTTATAAGTGAAACAAACATTACATTTAAACTACTGATATACCGATATAGATTTGTCTTTTTTAAGACTGATGATGATTATTTTAACATCAGATTCCCCAATAACAGCTGCCAATTTATTAGGGCCTATATTGCGTTTTCTTCCAATTTAGATGGTCAAATGAACATAAAACAAACAATATACAAGTCTAAATTTATATAAAATCATTAATGGTGGATGGTGAATGGGGGGAGCAGCAGTGATGCGATTCATGTGATCTCAAATAATGGCTGCAGGAAGTGCTAATGAATCAGCAAACTCACGCATTGACCAGCGCTGTTACAAGAAAATAAGACAAATATTGGCCAAAAATGTAGATGTATCTAGTCTAGTGAAAAAAGAGCAAGTTTATGGGTTAGTTACACTGCTTTTATACTGTAAAGAGTAAAATAGAAAAAAGGCTGGAGAAGAATACAATATAAATACATAAAGATATTCTTTTATTTACTAAAGGTGAAGACATTTTAATATTTAAACGTATATACAGCATTTTTTACAATGTGACACTTAGTCTTACAAAGTGTTTTGTGTTTTAAAGCAAATATTTTGTTTTAAAAACGTAACAGTGGTTGGTTTATATAGGCATATGGTGTGGGCATTACATACAGTGTTTTTAACGCATTTATTTTGTTTATATCTGTGTCAGAAATAAAACCAAAATTAAGAAATGATCATTTTGGCCATGAAGTGCAGCCCAAAAAAAAGTATCTTTTTGGGAAAATATTATTTCTATGACCTTGAACGTGTTTTATATTATGTTTTTTTACTCATGAGAAGAACGTACACACATTATATGTAACATTATTGCAGCTCTTATATTTACTTTTCAGTTAGATGTCATGTAATCTGTTATCGTTTCAAGTTTTTTTCCCTGTTGTTTTACTAAAAGTTATCACCAGATCGGTTCCTATTGGTGAGTAACAGAAACGCCCTGATTAGAGAAATAGACACCTGCAGGATATGCAGTAAAAACGCACACCTCTTGTGTAAGATCATGGTGAAACCATTCATGCCTTAAAACATTTTTTTTTTCCATGTTGGCCAAAAAAAAAAAAAGGAAAGGAAATGCACTGTGCAAAACAGCGAACCTAACACATGATATGTTTTAACATTATAGTAAATTAGGGCTCCTTTTTTACTCCACCTCTGTTAATTTCAGAAACATCAGCAGGAGACAGAAAGGTGAAAGACTTCTTCTCAGCTTTTCTTAAACAGACGGAACTCAATTTACTGTCAGAATGAAGAAATGTATGACTACTCAGGATCTAGAACATGTTCTGCCCTACCCAGCATACCAGACAATCGACAAAAAAAAAAACACATTGTACGCTGCTGAGTAAGAGCAAAAAAATTTGTAAAACTCAGAGCACCAGTCAAACAAGCAAAAGGAAGTGATGTGATAATGACGGCAGAAGAGGGCAGCTTGGAGGTTGATGGTGCCGCAGTGCAGCCTCCTCCTCCTCCTCTTCCTCAATTGTCCCCTCTGCGTCACGGATCACAGAGCTGTTGGAGAAACTCTTACTACGCTCCAAAGGGAGCTGTTGAAACCGTGAAGCTGATCAACGACGGCACAGCCGACTCCTTTCAGGCTTTGCTTTCCACTTATTGTTGAGAACCTCGGCTCACTGCTGCTGGTCTACAGCTTTTAAAGTGTTGCCGATGGTCATTCGGCTGCCGTCTACCTGCTTTAAAATGGAAGGTGGAGCAAAAAGCAAACTCTACTTCCCTACAGGTCTACAACCTACTTCCTCTTGAACCTACTAAAGTCCTGAGGAAAGAGATTGCTTCAGGAGCAATGCTAACTGACATGCTCTCAGCTGATAGGGTCTGAATTTGTTGCCTGGCAACAGTCAGTTTACTAAAGACTTAGTGAAGATGAAGAAGGCTTTGCTAATTGTATTTGTCTAAAGGCTTGCTTTGGTCTGACAGTGGTGGTTTTACAATACTGTCTGAGGCTGAGTGGGATTTAAAAATACCCAAGTAGGGTTATAAAAGCCGTGACCCACTTTAGTAAGTTGGTTCTTTTAACAGTGAATGACAAAGTTTCTATTAGGATTACAAAAATGACCATAACGGAAATGTAAAAAGCTGGACAAACTAAAACAGATCTGCACTAAGAAATCAGCAGAGTACTGGATCTGATCCTTTATTTTCTTCACAGGCTCTGACTGGTGATTGGCTGGGAAACTAAAAATAAGCATCAGCAGGCCTCTCTAAACAAAACAGCCTAAAGTTAGGATGTTTTTACAGCAGGAAGAAAAGTCAAAGGACTTATCTTCTTCAAAAGGGACAGACTTTTTAGAGCCATCTAAGGAAAGATAACGCATTTTCTACAAAGAAATTGAAGCATTTTTATATGGGATACTACTTTGTTTAACAGGATAGAAAGCATCACCAAACACACCCACGGCCAGCTGGATAAGCTGATCAGAATGACCAGCTCAGTTATTGGACTCAGAGCAAGAGGTGGGAAACAAAAGGGTCCTAACTAAGTTAACATCTCTGTTGGATAACATCTCCCACCCCAATGCATCAAGCTGTTGCAGAACTGGAGAGCTCCTTCAGTGACAGACTGCTGCATCCTAAATGTACCAGGGGGCGTTATCACAGATCCTTCCTCCCAGCAGCTGGAAGACTCTAAAACCATCACTGTTCCCAACAACCTCTATAAGTTGTTACATTCATGCTGATTTTGCACAATTTCCATCTTAGTCAGTTAAATAACATGCTGCTGTCATTTTGCACATCTCTGATGTTGCTGCTATTTTCAAATATCCATTACTGTAAAAATGTCCATAGCTGTATATTGGTTTTTATTCTCCAGGTGCACAATTTCATATTGTTAAAACACTTTACAGTACAGTATTTTATGGTTTATCTTTTAACTATTCACTATTATGTTATTCTTAAACATTTTTCTAAGGTCCACATTTGTGTTACAATTATTTCTATAATCTTTTTGCTGATGTAACACCAGAATCCCCCCATTGTGGGACAATGAGGGGATTTTCTATTCTATTCTATTTTCTCAGGGTAGAGAGGAAGTTCAGAACCGGGTCCACCAACTCATGGGTCAGAGTATTTATTTTTCAATATTTTTTATCCATGGCTGATCGTGAAGATTTGATCATACGTAAATAAAAAGATCCTGCTGGTGAATCGCAAATGCTGAAGGTTCTGTCCACAATCCTCTGAGCTCCAATCCAAACTCGCAGGACAAGTCGAAGCTTTAAACACAGACAATCTGAACCCCCAGCAGGTACAAAAAGATGGAAGGGGGCAGATGTTTCATCTTCTAAAAGCCACCAGCCCTGTTATAAACCCAATGTAAATGTCACGGTTGGGGACCCATATCTTGTTGTCTCTTCCTGAGCCCAGTCTAGGCTGTCAACGGATAACATTCCTAGCTTACAACAAGAGATGTTGCCGTAATTTTAATTTTTTTTTTTTTTTTAAGTCTGAATCTCTTGACATGTAAGATTCTGGTTAGAAAGTGTTAGAAACATTTAGGAAATCGCAGAGTTTAGATTTAGATCATTATAAACACACGGACCAGCAGTTAGGTATTTCATCTATGCTGATCTGTAATCTAAAGATGCTTAGGACAGTTTCTATTAGTTATTTTTTAAGAAAACTGAAACCCTGGTTTATGGCAGTGCTCAACCACACCACCTGCTCTCCATCACACAGTGATGTCAGCCTGATATACAACACGCAGGAATATAAAGAAATAAAATCAACTAAGAAGCTTGTTTCCCTCCGGTTACAATAACAGAATGTAATGATTATTTCAAAAAATATTATCTTTTCCCATTTACATTTAATTTGAATAAAAATGCTTGTTATTCATACCCTTGTCAGCAATCAGTGCAGAAATCTTAATTTGCATCAAAAATTTAATAACTGCCCTCTACTGTTCTCATGACATTTATAACATGAAGGGTTTTTCTAGATTGGCAGATCTTCAGTAACAGGTTTAAATCTTTTTAAAAACTTTTTGTTTTATTTCAGATGACCTTTTTTTTCAAAGTGGCGAACTTTAGACAAACCATTTTAGGTATAAAATGCATTTTGATTACTGCTTTTTGTTGTGCATTAAGAGAGATTGTATTAAATCATTTTTAATGGGATTGTTTTCTCATATTTCCTAGATACATCAGCTGCAGCGGCAATGCAGCTATCAGCAACTCTTCCTTTAAACTTTCGTCTTTGTAACATGATGCTAACATTGCATGTCTGGGAGGAGGCCACTGTGAAGTTGGATTGCTGATCACAAATGCAGATGAGATGGACTGTAGCGGTCCAAAGTCACTGGTAATGCATTCTACACAACAGGAGGTGAGGGAGAGATAAATGAATGGATGAGCAGCTAGTGTCAGAAAAGTGAACAGGAGGCAAAACCATTAACCAGTCCTTCTGATTCAGCTCGATTTTACAGCCCTGGAAAAATGACTATAACGCAGCAGAACCTTTCATCCTTCTTCGACCATGAAAGCTCATTAAGTCCAAGAGTGTGCCACTTACCAAATGTGCTTTTTTATTATGTTTGTATCTGCTTCGGACCTTTGTACCTAGGTACACTACTTATGTCTGAGTACGTGTACGTACAACGTTTTTGTCTGTACTTTGCTTGGGTTTGTGTGTGCAAACCATATCAGAGCATGTACCTTGTGGCACATGTACCAATAAGGACGATCAACAAGAAGAAAAAAAAAAACAGCTATATTTTCTGGATTTCCTTATGTCTGGGCTGTGATTGGTCCATTCCGTCACACGCAAAAGAACAGATCCAACCACAACCAAAGATTAACAGTGGGGACAACAGAATTTTCTGCTGTTTTTTTACGTTGGCCTAAAGTTACCAAAAGTGTGGGGAACATTTGTACTTCGCCCCCCTGAGTCAGTACTTTGTAGAACTGGCTTCTGCTGCAGTTACTGCTGCATGTCTCTATAAACTTTGCACAGCAACAGAATGAAGTACTTAACTCATTCTTCTTTAGGAAAAAGCTCCAAGCTAGGGTTTTTAAATGTTTGTTTCCAAGGCTTCTCCAGTCTGATGAACAACAGCTTTTGCCTGCAGCATGACGCTGTCACCACCGTGGTTCTTCATTGGGAGTGGGGTCTCTTTGTGATGTGGAGTTTTGTTTTTAATCCCACATTGTCTATCTGCATGTTTGGCTTGTCTGCATTTAATATGAATAGAATGAGAACAAGTTTCACAGTTTCCTGAATGAAAATTGAATATATAAAACCCCAGTGTAATTATATCAACAACTGACTCATTTAGTAGAACATGCAAGGCTCTTTACATGATTGGGAAATAAATGTAGGTACTGAAAGAGAGCAACTGGGTGCCAGTTATCTATAATTTCAGGTTAGCTCAAACTGAAATGGAAATATTTACTCTCAGTCTGTGCTAAAATCCAGGCACAATCTGTTAGTGTCAATCAGACAGACGGATGAAGAGCTTCAGCAAACCTGCCGACTACAGAGAATCGGCCTCATCTACCCACAGGACTTTATGACCTGGGTGGAGCTCTCACAAACAACTGACGACATGCAAAAAAAATTGCTTCCCTCTTCACCTCCTCTCTCCTTCTCCCTTAGCAGGAGTTTTTTTTTTTCTTTTTTGCATAACTCTGGTGGATTGTACAGGAGCAGGAAGCACAGATGAGGGAGGCTTGCTTAAGAGTTGGCATGGGTGGAAACCTACTTAGAACCTCTAGGAATAGGGAGAAAAAGTTAAGCAAGATGAAAACGCGTAACACCAGGAAGAAGACAAACATTAACTAAAGGGAGCAGCAATAAGAGGTGCAAGAGTCTGATGAAAGAGAGGGGGTTGGATATCTGGTACTTAGCCCCCACATTCCTGGAGGTAGAGGTTCTGTTGTAATACCTACCGTCTTAAGCCGCTTCACCGCTTCCTCGCAGATGTGCATGCCTCTCGACTCCTCCACTTCCACATGCCCGAGGTACTGCAAACAGAGGAGAATGACAAAGAGAAAAGGCTCAGTAAGGCTAAATAAACCTTTCTACCAGTTATCATCTCAGTGATTGACTGGTGCTGTTTAAGCCCCTTTTTTATTTCAGTTTTAACACTGAGCCACTGATTAGAAAATTTAATAACCCTCCACTGATTACTCCTTCAGCTGATCTCTAATTTGTTTCATTTACTCTTTGGGTTTTGTGCCTGATTTCCAATCTCTAAAGCTCTGATAAGTCAAAACAATCATTAGTCAGTTGAGATTTATCTTTAAAAGAATGTGTAAGGTAATAAAAAAGGGGTTGAAAAACATATTGTCCAGCTGAGAGCCGTCATCAATTAGTTATATTAAAAGCAACAACACATCACATATGTGGGAACAATTGACACTACTAAGATTAACATAAAGAAAAAGGTGCAATAGAATTTACACTCATGCAAGTCTTTGTTCACCTAATAGGAGGTCCTAGAATGTGAGAATCTCAAGATGAAATCAAGCTTGAGATAAAAACTGAGATGGGTTTTTCTGTCATATCACCCAGTGCTCATCTGACATTTCCAAACGGTCACTGATGATTGCAGTTCAGCAAAAGCCTGTTAATTATCTATCAATTGAAATTAGTTGCCCTGAAGCAGGGAACCCTTTAAAACCTGCAGGACAGCTGCACTGGAGGGCTGACTTTAGGCAGGCCTGCTCTAAAATGTTCTTTAAAAAAGTCATACATTGCTCCCCAAGGGGATGGGTTTAATGCAGAGGTGAATTTCTCCAGTGGGTCATTAATAAAGTTTTAATAGTATATAATAATAATAACAAAAATAATTATTATTAACTAATATTATTATTACTATTGCACTGTTGATCTGAGGGAAGGGGAGCTTTAACAAGAATAAACAGACAGTTGCTAGCTTAAACTGATTTATTCCATTCAACTCTTGATTCCTCAGAGAATCTTTCTTCAGCTGGTGTATGTACGTCATTGTTTATTTAACACAAGGAATCGTTAAAAACAAAGAAAGGAAGAAGAAAAAACAATGAAAAGAAAGAAAAAGTTACTGTCATCATTTCCAACTAGCTGTTTTTGTCCATTTTTGACAGTATGACTATAAAAGCGTATTACAAAAACAAGTGACTAATGCTTGTTTAAAAAAAGTATTACCCTTCTGGCATGAGATGCTAAGTCATAAAACTACATTTTAGCCCCGGACCCATGACACCTATGAGGGTTGAGTCAGATATATAAATAAAAACTGTCTAGTGACACCAAAGTTTTCACACATGAACTGTGTTTAAACAGATTTGAGAGTAACACAATCTGCAGTTGTACATTTTCACAAGTAGAAGATCCTCCTAGTTGCTGGAGACAAGGGTGCAAGAACAAGGCCTTTAGATAAAGCAGGGGTGGTTTTCTATGAAAAGTGCATGTACATGTATTTAAATATCTGGGTTAAAGGGCAGCTAAACACCAGCAGATACATATTTTCTCAATAAATATATAAAGCTCCCTCCTGGACTCAAAAAAGCATCATTCCAAGTCCTTCCACTCACAACCCTGACCTCCTCAGAAGCTATTGTGTGTGCAGGAGCTGAGAGGAAGTCCTTACCCTTTCCTTACACACAGACTAGTGTCGCTGCCCCACGCCTGTCACCCCCACCCTCCGGCTCTGCTATTTTAAGATTGTGACGTAACAGCTGTGAGTCACCCTGTCAAGCGTATTAGAAAACACTCGTGTGTGCATTTAAACATGCGTACACACGGATGCAGACCACAAATGTAGGATGTCGGGACAATGCTGATGCGAGGAGGCAGCCGTGGGTAGCTGGGGCAGAGGAGCAGCGGTGGCTCTGAACAAGGATCAGCAAGGAGAAGAGGGGAAGCGGATATGAGTAAATGCATGGATGGCTTAAACAGTCAAGATAAATTATTTTCCATATCTTATGTTTTCTTACCTCTTCAGCTTTTTCATATATTACACTGCAAACATAAAATGTGATGCTTTTTGGAATCTAATGCAATAGATTTAGTGAAAGTACTGCAAATGACACACATCTTAGCATCTTTTATAGATACGATTATAAAAAAAAAGTGGCATGAATAATTCTTTAGTTGTATTTACTCATGAATCAGATTAATAGCAGCTATCTTAATAATTATCTAATGCAGTTTAACTATTGTTACTATTAGTATTGTTCACCCCTTTCAAATCCATGAAAAAAAACAACCATAGCACTGATAATGCTTCAGTTAGACACCCACAGCCCTAAAGTGCATCACTGTCACAAGACCAAACACACAGCACATGAACAATCTTCTTTCCTCCCCCTCCTGAAATAAAAACGGCAATTACAAAATATATTCTTTAATATCCGTCCAGCTTTATTTATCAGACCGATATGGTACAAAATAACTAATATTGGCCGATACCGATATTTATGCTGATGTTGATAAAGTAAGATCAAGGAAAACAGCAGATCGGACATATATTCAATATTTTCAAGCTTACAAAACAGCACAACAAACAGACACAGTTTCAGTAAACGAGTCTCTGGTTGTTTTGTGAAAAATAAGGAAATATTTGTCGTAAAAATTTAACTGAACATCATGATCCAAATCAATTTCATTTGTAGTGCACAAAAAGAAAACAACAAATAAAATGTGTTTATATTTTCCAAAGCTTCTGATATTAAAGTCTGACAGCCCTTGAACAGAAAAGCACCAAATCCCTTCAGACACTTCAGAGAGGCAGGCTTTACCCGCTCGCACCCTCTACTCTCTGTGTGCAGCATAAATCCTGCAGTTTGTGATCATTTCACAGCAACGACTGACACACACAACCCGCCTCATCTGAGGCCCCAAAGAGGGAGTCTGGGAGCAGGAAGAGGGGAGGAGGGACACAGAGGAGTAGCATGCTAGGTTGAACTGTCTCATGATGAAAGGAAGAGCAGAGGAAGGGAACTTTACTGGTCTTATTTCACATTTTTTCCATTTATGAAAGTGTCTTAACTTTGTTTGAAAATAGGTTTCCCCAAAGCATTGCATAATATCTAGATGAATGAAGTAGCTTATGAGGTTCAAAAGAAGGGTAGTTTAATCAAACATTTTTATCAACATATAAACTGAAGGAAAGGAATACGAGCCTCTGCTGCTGCTTTATTTACAGCCATTAAAATGTTCAAGAAAAGCTTTTGCTAAACAAATATCTAATTTTTAGGCAAATATTACTTTATAGGCTTGAAATTTGAGTAGAAATTGATCAGGTGCCTCATTGAAAAGAAGGTCTGGTTGTGTACTGACTAATTGAGGTGGGCAGTTACATTTATCAATTCATTTTTGTGTTGGAAGATTTTAATTTTTTCGAAAATTGGGGGAGGGGGGTGTCACCAATCCAATCCTTGGGCTCAAAGGGACATCCGTTCATCACAGGAAATAAACCCAATGATGTTCTCATATGTCTGCTCATGACTGATAAACTACCACTGCCTTCAAACATTTTGTGTGGTTTACTTTCACTGCTTGTTGTTAAACATTATTATTTTACAAATTTTTTTTTTTGCCTTTTAAATGACATTACCCTCCCAGAGGTCAGGATGGCAATGAAAACTAGTTTTAAGAGCGATATATGTAGTTTTTAATTTTCTTTTTATTAAAAAAAGCCATTAATCGGATTTAAAAAAAAAAAATCATAAATTGGATTTCTAAGCCATAATGCTCATAGATGCTTAATAAGACTTATTTTTTTATTTTTATGTCAGTTGCTCATTCTGGTTCCATACAGTTTTCTCAATGATTATCACATCATGTTAGCATATAATTTATTATTTTGGTGTTTTACACTTTGTTTTTGATTCATTTGTAATAAATAGAACTCCTTGTATTGATTCACAATAATAATGGAGATGCAATACTGTTCATGTCCGTTGGGGCCAAACTAGGTTGTTATGAGGCTAGGCTTTTTAGCACCTCCCAGCAAAGTTCTGAAAATAAAAATGTCCAAGATCCAATATAAAAGAAAAACAACAACTAAAAACTAAATAATTGATTTCAATAGGTATAATTAAAATCAAATAGCACTCTGAATACAGTGTCAAAATTTATTTTCACTGAAGCAGGAGCTAAAGCTGCTGATGTGGCTGAGGTGAGGGGTTGATGGATGCCAGAGTGAAAATCCTTATTAATACTGATGCTAGTGATAGAAATGCTAATCTTAGTCTCTGCAGTCTAATCCAGTCTTCCACAACTGCGAGCTGTTGGTAGTTTAACGCAATGCATTGCAGGACGTTCACCATTTGGCTTTTTGATAGTTTTCTGGTAGTACTAGTAGATGATGCCACATCTGTTTTACGTCTGCTCGTCGGGCAGTCCCGGAATTCTATTTAGGCTCAAACAGCACTACCTAAAATTACCAGGACAAATGTTTTGGTTTTATAACCTTATGTCAAAATGATTGTTGGTGTTTTTTTTGCATAGGCATATAATGTGACGATTTACCTTTAAGCTGAAAGAATAATTGGAATCTTCTGGCTTCTGACACTGGATCCCATTAGATTGTTCTCTTTATTTCCATAAACAGGCAGATTAAACGGCTGACTTAAACAGCCTAAATGCAAATCAGTGTTTACAGAAATTTATCTACAGCCTTTGTGTAACCCTTGGGCCCCTGCTTTCGTTGTTAATGCAACTCCAGCCTTTTTTTTTTTTTTTCAAATCCCCTTTCTTGCTCTAAAAGAAGAAAAAAAAAAATCTAAACCACAACATGAAAAGTCAACTAGGGACATCATCTGTCAAAGAGACACTAATGTTAAGCATCATGTGGGGGGGGGGGGGGGACCCATGTATTCAGTTCTCCCTTTCTTTAAGAGCTGACCATTTGGCCCCATGTGATGAGAGGAAGCATACCGTTGCACTTCTGTTTGCAAAAGCGAACGCCTTGTGTTGCCAAAATAAAAAGAACTCTCCACTTCATCAATCCCAGCATAATAGGTCCGGGTGCTGCTTTTTGCCTTGCACTTTAAAAAAAGCCGTCTCTACCGCTGTCATAGTTCATACAATTTTTTTACATCATTGTGTAGGTTGTTTATTATAAAGTCATTGAGCTCAGAAGCAGTGCACTCTTCTTTAACAGCTAAAGGAGTCCACAACCGCAGAGCTGTAGCCTAGATTAAACTTGTGCTCACATACTCTGAAAGCTTTTGATTAATCACAGCAGCGTCCTTGGATGCAGAGACAGTGAGGGGAGGTTTCTCTGAGGAACACTCACTTCACAGTAAGGTCAGCACTGCATCCAGTTCTAGTGTTGGTCAAGTATGTGTTTATAAAATGTGGTGTATGCAGGTTTGTTTGTGTTCCAGAAACAATGTGGAGAGTCACCTTGACTGCAAAGCTGCATTTGCCGCTGCGGACCGCCTCCTCGTCCGTCTGCCACTGGTGCGGCCGACTTGACTCCGGCACGTAGATGTCTTTCTTGCGCCGGAAGCTCTGGCGTAGCTTATTCATCGCTGAGCTCCCTGTGAGGGAAGGAGGGGACACTTAGAAAAGATTCATGTGAAAGAATAAACCATAGTCACCTTTTTTCTAACAACAAAATTCTGTCTCTTGATGGATGATTCATCCCAATTTGATAACGTAACTCATACCCTGAAACCGTTTGTAAAACAAAGAAGCTAACAGACCCTGAGAGGTGAAGCTTAAGCCTCATTTACACTACTCTTAGGAAACCATACTGAGAGCGGTCCGAGCACAATAACCAAGATAACTTAAGTTTAAATGGCATGCAAAACTGAACAGGACTGTGCCAGAAAAAAATTAACCATGCTTAACTAGTACTGGTTCAACAGTAGGGCTCAGTGCGGTTCTGTTGTTGCTCGGTTCTCTGATAACAAACAGCGCATGAGCAGACCGCATCATCTCCTATTCGCAGTCAGCTTCCAGTAGTTGGTGGTAATACACATTGGTAAGTTGCTTGCCAACCGCCACAAAACAGAAGAAGAACTGTAAACAACAATCAAAATCTTCTCAACAGTACATCTTTAAAAAAGGCTTCAAAAGAGCTAGGTGCATCCTCGGATGATGCCAACACTGGGGCTCTTATTGCAATTAGGGCAGAGGACACTATCCAGGCGATAGTGGATGGAACAAAACATAATCACAAAGTTTTCCTACTATGGAGCAGTAGTATCGTAGATCATCACTAGGAGGCGAGGAACCGTGCTAGCATGACGTGTAAATGGTTGTAAGGATCCAAGCTCAGCACAGCTAACTGATCCAAGTTCGGTCCGAATTCGGCATGGATCGGTTTTCAGAGGATAGTGTAAATGGGGCTTTAGATTGGCAACAAACTGTGGGGGTTAACTGGGCACCACTCNTGCCAACCGCCACAAAACAGAAGAAGAACTGTAAACAACAATCAAAATCTTCTCAACAGTGCATTTTTAAAAAAGGCTTCAAAAGAGCTAGGTGCTAGCTTATTGCAATTTGGGCAAAGGACACTATCCAGACGATAGTGGATGAAACAAAACATAATCACAAAGTTTTCCTACTATGGAGCAGTAGTATTGTAGATCATCACTAGGAGGCAAGGAACCGTGCTAGCATGATGTGTAAATAGTTGTAAGGATCCAAGCTCAGCACAGCTAACTGATCCAAGTTCGGTCCGAATTCGGTGCAGATCGGTTTTCAGAGGATAGTGTAAATGGGGCACCACTCTGGGCACCACTCAGATGTCTTTAGGATAAATATTGAGAGAGACTGAAAAATAATAGAATATAAGGCAAGGTTATAACAATAAAACAGACCTCATATGCCCAATTGATATAGTTTAAATGAAAAAAGGAACTTTGCATTTTAATAAAATTCTAGAGAAACACCACTCATCATTGTTGGGCAGGGTCTAAAAGAAAACTCCTACACCATTTTTGTTTCTCTTTTTTTGTCATTCCCATTTTATTCCTAGAGCTTTTAAAATCTATATATATCATCTTTCTACAGTATATAAAAGCTGTTGAATCAAGGTTTAAACAAGTATTAAAACTCTTGTTTTCAAGCCCAACTCTTTTTAATAGTAACTGTCACACAATGAAAAGTTATGTTAAATAAAACAAATCTATTGTTAGAGTTTAAAATGGCTAGAAATATGTTAAAGATACTAGTTTTTAGGAGCAGACCTCTTTTAAAGGTTTGGGATCTAGCTAAAAGTGTGGGGATACACTTCTTTTTGAAAAACAATATTCTGCATTATTATGGTTTGTCCCTTTGTGTGACACCAAAATGTCTCAATCTGAGCTCCAAGTCTAGGAAGACCTTTCAATTACGCCTTTTTTCAATTCTGAAAAAGAACCGGATGGAATACCTTATGAAATAACCCCTATTTATTAACACAAATTAAATAAATTTGAATAATTAAACAAAACAAAAACAAAACTGTCTTTACACAGTCAGTCTAGTTTAGCTATAGTCTTATACTCTTGACCTTGTCACCAAAAAAAGTTTGAAAAATGTCCTCCTATGTTCTTTTTTCTCATCAAACAGAAGGATTTTATAACAGAACCTCATTTTTAAAAATCTCAAGTACGGTAAAAAACTTTTTTTCCCCCCGGTAATTATGTCACAGCAGAGCAATATGTCTCCACAAAAAGGAGAGTGTTAAAAATAAAAAGCGTTTAATGGACTAATCTGGAAATTCTTAAACACCTATCAGCAGCAGACAAAAATCATGCATCAAATTTAGCCCATTTACTCATTATTTCATCAGATTCAGGAAATGTGTCAATCCTGTTAAAAATACATCTAGGAGAAGTAGAAATACAAAGGAGTTGAAATTAACTTGAATATGACTAAAAGTCTATGTAGGACAATATGACCAACATAGAAGTGCAGAGGATCATTTCTCCTTAAGGTAGAGTATGAATGCAGAACAGTTTTTTTTTTAAAATCCCACCCCCTGGTTTCCCTTTACGCTACTTTTAGTTTGGAAAAATCAAACGTTTAAATTATCCTTCATTCTGTTTTAACTCATAACTAATGGATTAAATAAACCGAAACTAGGAATTCTATAATCTTCAAACAGTGGAATCTATAAAACCAGCAAGTTTAATTAAGGTGACAGTGCTGCTAGGTGCACTTCTTTGCTTTGAATGGGGATTAAGATACACAAGAAAAGCAGAGACCCAATTAAAAGCTGCTGACACTAATTAGAACTGAGAGGTCCATCCATCATGGAAAGCCAAACTCTAAACTCCCAGACTGAATCGAAAAACAGGGGACCAAAAGTCATTCTGCTGGGAAATTCCCAGTTTAAACACAAGTAGAGGAAACTGCTGGACCAACGAGTTGTACCCACCGACTTCTGAACTGATTAGGACCTGTCAGGATTTACGCTCCCTAATCCAGTAGAGCTGACTGTCCACAAACACACTCATAATGAGCGGGAGCATGCTCCTGCACATCTCACCCGACCAATCACATGCATGTTCCCCTGCTTAACCACACTAACACACAACACAAGGACGACCTAGTCAGTCTGTTTGCATAATGACACCTGTCCTGTAGTGACAGAGAGGTTCCCTTATCGGTCCATGCCAGGCCCAGCTCTGTAGGCAGGACACAATAAAGCACATAAATGCAATGAAACCTCATGTTATCAAATGAAAAGAGTAGACCTCAGCAGCAGATTGGTGGGGGTTAAAGTTAAAGAGAAGTTTTGTTAATTAATAAAACTACATCCCAATGGTTAAAAAAATCCTAGTGCACTTTAACAGATCATCCAAAAATGGAGACAGTATGGTACGGCTGCACCTGCCATGAATCCATCTACACCCACAGGCAAGAAGAGCATTAATCAGACATGCAGCTAGGACCGAGAACAGCAGAAAGTCAAAGCTTAGATAGGAAAATATGTTTATAGCATGGTTGTAAACAAATAATCAAATTATGATTAACTACTGACTAGTATCTTAGATAAAAAGTTATTCCGTCCAATTAACAGGAAACCTTGGCGTGTTACCATCATCCATTCGAGGACGCCACTTTAAATTTTTAAGAGACCACTCATCGGTACTTGTAAAAGAAGTAAAGCTGAAGCAAGGCTGCATGCTAAAACAAAAAGCACTTCATACAGTTCTGTTTGTAAATATAAATACTAAATTAACTCTTAAGTTACCACCTAAATAGCACACATTTAGCTGCACTGCATGGAGGCGTAGCTTAACCTCTCTGATGTACTTGGAAGGTAAGGATGTGATGATAGAAAAGTTAAAGGTGTAACGCAAATCATTTATACCATCATAGAAAAAGAATGCTAGCAATAAGCACACAACCATAACCATCTGTTCAAAAGCACTGCTAAGAATACAAAGTCTCTGCCAGAACAGGTTGTTGGATTACAGAGAAAGCTATATCACAGTTAGCATTTACTTCATTAAAACAAATTAGCTAATAGTCTGACAGTATATCAGAGCGACATATGGATGCGCATGCGCAAATGAGCTGATGGTGCATGCGCAGAACAGATCGTGCTTACGGGACGGATCGGGTAGCGCCAGACCATCGCAGGGCAAAAGAGAGAGAAACAGGACAAACACCAGGAGAATTTAGAGAAGCCAATTAACCTAGAAGTCAGGTTTTTGAACTGTTGGAGGAGGCCGGAGTACCCGGAGAGAACCAATGCATGCACAGAGAGAACATGCAAAACCATGCAGAAAGACACCGGGAATCAAACCCGGAACCTTCTTGCTGCAATCCAGCAGTGCTACCCACTGCCCCACTGCCAGTGGGTAGAACATAAATGTTTTTTGTTTATTCAGTGAGTATTCAATAGAGCTTGCACTGTAAATTTTCACAATAGAATTATGTTTTATTTTTACCTACGGCTGAAGGAAATCTATATTGCAATTATTTTCAACCCTTCTATCAAATGCCATTAGATTGAAATGTTGCTTTGCAGAGCATGTAGATGTTTCTCTCAAGGGTTTCAGTTGAAAGCTTGCTTGTCCAGAGTCCATACTTGCAGAACTTCTTCTTTCTACTTTTATGCATGGATCTGCCTGTAAGCTGCAAGTCTTTTTTCATCTATGTTGATGCAAACCAAGTTTAAGCGCATAATCTTCACCAAAAGAGCTGGAGGGATCAATTTAGTGTCTTACTCATGTTAATGTAATGTGACTGAAATTGAGTGCCTGTGTGATTTGAAAATTGCATTTGGCTAAATTGCGCTTATTTTGCAAATGCAATTGCCCCGCCCTATTTTTAACTCAGCATTTTATATATATATATATATATATATATATATATAAAAAAAAAAAAAATCCAACAAAAAAACAAAAAACAAAAAAAACATCCTCGATACAAAATAAAACTCAGTTTTTTTAGGAAAAAGGGCTCTAAACTAATCGGTAACTTTTAACCTTAATTTACATGTCAATTATTAGCTGAGAATTATAAAAAATGTATGAAGATGTTTTAAAAGTCCGATAATAATAATACTAAAAATAATTAAATCTTTTTTTTATCC